ACTGGAAAAATAAGCATCTGCTCTTGCTAATGCTGATGGCCTTCTAAAAATCATTAAACTATTCTAAATTGGCAATGATAAAACAATGCAGAACTGTTTTAACTTTTTCTAAAGCAAAGAGAAAATCCATTACCCTTGTAAATACTTTTTTGTTCCAAATCTGCCTAGTAACCTCTACCTCATAAGGCATATCTCCCTTATGGACTGCCTAAATCCCAGTCTCCCACAATGATCTAAACTGAACTCAGTGTCTTTTAAATCTGGGTTGGTAAAGGTTTGTCTTCACTGCATCGACACAGGCTGCAGTTCTGGAGTCCTGCCCACCTCTTCTCTAGTCACAGGCTCCAAGGATCTGCGGCATGGGGCACAGCTGAAATGTCGGCTCCAATTTCCTTTCAGCCTCAGCTAGAGACTGGGCTGCTTGGCAGTGGGAGTAGCTCACACAGTTTCATTCTCCCAAGGCTATCCTAAAACCTCAGCTGGCCTACACCTTCTTTGCTCACTTACTCTTTCTGCTGTATTGCGTTGTAAATCTACCTTTGTTTGCGCTACATATGTAACACTTGTGCAGTGCAAGGACTCAGATACTACTATTTAAGAAAATTTCTTTAAAACTTTTCAGGGCAATCAGCCCAGGTTTGGACACAGAGCACCCAAACATTGTGAAAGACACAGATGAAGCATGAAATAAAACATCTAACAAGAAAGTTAAAGATCCTGGAGGTCATGCACTGACGGTAGAGAAGAACATTACATTATACTTAACCTCTCTTGCAAAAAGACTTGAGTCTCCAATAGGAAAACCAGAAACAACATAGGAATATAATGGATCGATTGCCTGCATGGTATCCAAACACAGCATAAAATGCCAGTATCTGCTCAATGATTTGCTCCTTCCTGGTTCTCACCTACATCATGGGTGACTTTGAGTACCCCCACACATAGTCAAGACACAATACCTGGTAAAGACCAGGTTACTCAGAACAGCACAGGGAAAATGAATTTCTGATGAATGAAATGTACATGGCCAGACGGTGCCTATTGCACCACAGCTCTATGTCACAAAAATTATGTGAAAAACTAACTTAAGGTTAAAACTGGTATTGTTTGTATAAACTTGGTTTTTTCCTCCTATTGCACTTCCATTTTGGTGGAGTAGGTGTAAAAGGAAATTGAATGCTCCTTCTTTGTGAGTTTGTTTTATTTCTATGTTGTCAAGTTACTGCAGTGACCACTGTTCACTTTACCAAGATTGCTAAATGGGGGTATTTTCTACTCCCAGAGTCAAGAGGTTGAGGGGTTTTACTAGTTCTCAAACTATAAGGAGCCACATGAATTTCAAAAAAAGGCTTTTAATAAAGTCCAAGGATAAACACATACTGTCTACTCATTAAACTAATCGATTTATGAAATAATTGAAACCTTCGAGTAAAAATGGACTCAAATCCTGAGATCATGTCATATGCTGAAGTAATCCACCAAGCCAGCATCCTACATATAACATCATTACACCAATTCCCATTTGAAGCAGGGATACAGGAAATTTCCCTCATCTCCTTCTGATCTTCAAGCCAAACTCAGAATCACACAGCTTCCTTTGGCTCCTACTGTTTTTCAGTAATCCAGTGCTGGTATCAAGCAGCTCCTGAGAAAATCTCCAGACCTCTGCCTCGCCAAGAGCAGTAATGCACAAAACAATGCAGGAACACAAAGGCAATGAGATGCACTGGCACCTGAGTGGGATCTGACCCAGCACTAGCCTGACGTCCCTCCAGGCACACAAGCTTGCCTCCATACAATAACTGCCCAGGGTGGGATTAGACCCTCTTCTGCTGGCTGCTCTCTCATCAGTGAGGTTGGAAGAGACCTTCAAGTTCAACCTTTGATCAATCACCACCTTGTCAACTAGAACACAGCACTAAGTCCAGTCACTTCTTGAACACTTCCAGGGATGGTGACTCCATCACTTCCCTGGGCAGTCTGTTCCAATGTTTGACAACTCTTTCAGTGAAGAAATTCTTCCTGATATCCAACCTGAACCTCATTCTCTTGCTAGTTGCCTGGGAGAAGAGACTGACCCCCACCTTGCTACAAGCTCCTGTCCAGGCTAAACAACCATAGTTCCCTCAGCTGTTCCTCACATGACTTACTCTCCAGACCCTTCACCAGTTCCATTGCTGGAAAGTGTTCAATATCCCTACAAGAAACAAGAACTTATCACTGTAATCCAGAATCAATTTCATCTTAATTTCAATAAAGTTTTGCAGTAATTGCCTAGTAAACACCACTCACAATTAACACAGAGGACCCAGCAAGACCAGGTTGCTTAGCTATTGCATGTGGCAGCCTCCCACACTGAAACAGCAATCTGAAGATCAACCCCTCTCACCTCACCACACATTGTACAGTCTGGTCCCAAAAGGGCTAAGTGAGATCCCCACACAGCACCACGGGGCAATTCTTCTGTTGCCACTGGAAAGGACTGGAAGCTGATGCTGGATAAATTCAGATTAAAAATGAGGTGTATGCTTTCACAAGCACTGCTAATTACTAGCATAGCTGTGGGGGGTTCTTAACCATGATCAATTTTAAAATCAAGAAGAGGTTATTTGAAATATGGGCTCAGACTTTAACAGGAGACAATTCAAAGCAATCCTGTAGCCCTTCTCAGACAACAGTATCCCAGCTCATCCAAAGTCTCATTAGGCAGGTATGGCAACTCTGTGCTCTCTGGTCTGATATCTCAGGACTCATCACCCTGACTGAGGGCCACTGCTGCTCCAGACCCTGTTGGTTTCACTCCTCCACAACTGACACAGCCTTCATGATGAACGTTTTTTTCATAACCCTTAAGCCATGTCTCACTTTTGCTCTTGCAGCAAACCTAGGGCCGACAGCAGACACCCAGCAGGAACCACAAGAAAACGAGATGTCTTCCTACAGGTTTTGGAGAAGTTTTCCTAGTCTTACCTAGTGTTCAGCATCCTAAGCAATGAAGCTTTGGCCACTACATTCCGAAGACTCAAAATGCCTTAGTTAGCTAATTTTTTAAGTAGAAATCACATCTCCCTGCACACACGTGCTGCGATGGAAGTGCAACTCTAGGGACTTTGGGCACTGTAACAACACAGACAGACACCACAATTTCAAATGCATACTACTTGGATCACACTTTAGTTCCCACTCCATGCTTCCCAGTTATGATATTCATCTTCCCAAACAGCTCCACGTGCTGCTTTTGGTAATCACATCTTTCAAACACTTGTCCCTGTTATGTCTACCAACATCTACATATTCAAAACAGTCTCCAAAGCACATGCTAAACATCTGTTTCAACCAGCTTTCTCTTCAGCATTTAAGCTCTTTGCTGGAAAATTGCCATGCTAATGGCCAGCTCCTCTGTTAGTGAACTGGAGAATTCATTTTGCATTTATTGATTGTTCCCTAATGAAGAGTCATAAAGGTGCCAGAGACTCTTGACCAGACACTACTTAATTAGTACCAAAGTGCATAAAATCCCAAATCAAACAGAGCTCTTTGTCCAACAGCTCAGTCACTGGAAAAGAAAAAAAGTGACATCATTTTCTGCTTATACAGAAGTCCATAAAATTTTATTCAAAAACTCTTAAGGAAATTAATAAACTATATAAATCATTCATTTCCTTCCAGTTCCTAAGAAACCAAGTAGGTCTTCCAGAATCAAATCACACTTTGCTAAACAAAGTATTCTTCATAATCAATCCAGCAATATGCATCATGCATATAATTTATTTAAAACTAAACAAAGGCAAGTACCAATGCAACTTTTGTCTTCTGAACAATATAGAGAGACATTTTCATTACATACAAAGACATAATGCAAAGCATCCAGAAAGTATTAAAAATTACCTCTAATGGATCTGTCTTTTCATCATCATGACTCCTACAATAGTTCAATTTTTAACTACACTGTATTAAAGTATCTTCTAAGGGTATTTGCTCTCAAGAAGGCAGAGAGGTGAGCAAAAGCTCTATTAAATGTCAAGTTTTTTTTCACTCAAACTCATCCTGAGTAACTGGTATTTCCTTGCAAGTGTTTCAAATTAAGTCATCCTGAAACTTCATTCCCTCTCTTTCATATCATTTAAATTCTAAATTAAATAATTGAGAAAATAGCAGGAAAGGAAAAAGCCATCTAACAATAAGGAGGCAAAATCCCACCCCTACATGGCAATAGCATTGCTGCCTCTATGAGGCTGCTTGTTGCAGGTATCTGTCTTCAGAGCAGTAAGGTGGCTTGGATTCTTTTGGATAATGTAAGATCTACATGAGGAAACAAAGTTTCATGATAACACAAAATCCACTAAATACAGACTCCCTCACAGTAATCTACAATCACTGATGTAATTATTAGCACATATGCAGTAAAATACCCTTCCATTTTCCTAAAAGCTATCATTTCAATGCCAAGTTTTTTAAAACAATTTCAAAATCCTGTTCATGAACTGCCATGTGTTCAGCATGATACCAGCTTTAACTATCTGAAGCATCCGGTCCTCTTATCTTAACCATAAACAAGTGTATTCCACCAGAAAGGGAGCATGTTTGCACAAACAGAAAACAGAACAAGACAAGCATATAAAGGATGAAACAGTCACAGTAAGGCAAATATCCCAGGAAGACAGAATACCAAATATATGTATATGTGCTTCCCAGACATATGAATTTGTCTTCTTTACCTTAATCCATTCTTTTTGCCTATTGATTTAAAACTGCATTTTTTTAGAGTTGCAAAATTACACCAACAGTATCTCAGCTATCCCAGATAATTTCAGTAAGTCTTTTGCAGAGTTTTGTTTTGCGCTCCCAGTAGAACGTACTAAATGTTCACCAGTAAAAGGCCCAAGAAAATAAGCACCAGAACAGTGGAAAATAAAGAAAAACACAGAGAAGAAAATGGGAGGGACACAGAGAAGCCAGGGAAGGGTCACCAGATTGAGGCCACACAAACCTCCGCTTACCCCTTGCTCGGATTCCAGCAGCTCTGTTTTGACTCTGACTGCCGGCATCCCATCAAGCATTAACATTCTGTTCTCGAGGGCGTTGATGTCCTAAGGCAAGAAAGGACAAGGTTAATAAAAACAAAAGATGAAAAAAAAAGCCTTGTTTTAATTCACTGGTTTAAGTTCTATGATATTGTACAAGAAGTGTCTTTTAGCAGAAATGAAGTTAACGAAGATACGATAGTAATTGCAAGGAGTAGCTGCCAAATTAATACTTCAGTTGAAACAGTACATTATACTTTAGTTATTCTTAAATAAGAACTCAGTCTTTGTAAGCAACAAGGAAAAATAATCTCCAACTACTATTTTGCAATTTGAAATTAATCACAGAGGGGCAATGTATACAATTCCTTGCTTTAGAACTGGAAAGGAAAGCATTGATGCCAATTAGCTACAGTTCTTTTGCAGTATACTTAGGTATAGTTGATTTCAATCAAAACCTTTGTACTTCTGTTTTACTTAGAGAAAGCAAACGCATGAATTCAGAGAAGTGAAGGCCTGTATACCCACACACTATAAATTAACACACATTTACAACTTCTCAGTTTTCTTATCATTCATTGTCTTGCAAAGTCATAAGCATTTGTCAATTAAAATCTCGACACATTCCCCTCTGACACAAGTGAGGAAAAAAGCATGTTAAAAACATGCATTGTCCATGTAGTAGTGGGCAATATATGCTAGAAGCTTCAAGCTAAAGAAAGATTTGCAGAACTTGCTTCCCTGCATCAACATTCCCACTGTGAAACACTCATCCTGATGTTGCTGGAGCAGTTTATGGAGACATAAAAAACAACCTCTTGTGCTTTTAGTTCAAACACTACCTCAACCTGAGTCAATTTTCCATTTGAGCCAAGGCTCAAGGCTGGTGTTTCAAAGCTAGTGCCTTCAGCTGCCATTTAGTTTGGAGAACACTGAGAGAATAAAAGCCATTTTATCCCTCAAGCTAGAATCTGACCTTACAAATCCAGACACCTTGGTTACTGGTACAGCAACACAGAGACATCACAGCTATTTTTCAAATATCGAAACTAGAGCACATATCACTTATAAGTGACTCAATTCACAGTCAGTTATTTATCTGCAGCCCTGTCTGGAAGGCAGCACTCAAGACTGGAAACTCACCTCTGCTCTGTTACCTCGTGGTCCTCAATAACTGCACTGTAATGAAATAAACACTTTCCCTGTGTTTCATGGACAGCAGATCTGTTCAGCACTGTGGGGTGCTGTTATTCATAAGGAATATGTTCACAGCCCTGTTTCTTGTCATGACTGCTTCAGAGGAATTTTTTAAAAAATGGCTTGTCCTAATGGAGCTTCCAAACACACATTTTAAAACCTAAAATTTCTTTAAACATTTTCATTTTTCCAATTGATACAACTCATCTCAGGACCTTCATTTTCTGAGATATAAATACTGCAGCAACTGTTTCTGCATGTTTTTGCATACTCCTTTACTTCATTGTAATTTAAATAATATGTTGGAAAGCAGGGAAACTGGCACACCCATGCTCCAAAATGGTGCCACGAGCAGAGCAAACAATCTGCTTAAAGTCCCTGTTGCCCTCACTTTGAACCCTGTGTGTTACAGCACACAGAGCTGAGGTTTGATAACACAGGGCAGGCAGGAACTTGATGGTGACGAAGATAAGAAAATGCAACAGAAAATACAATCTCTATTTTCCCTTTAAAAGGAGATTTAGATAGTTCATATAAGCTCTAAACACCTAAGTTATAAAATTTCAGACCAAACAAGGAATTTTCAGCAGAACACTTCTGCATTAAAACATGTGAATGCAGACCAGTCAAGCTACTGAGATGTCACAGTCCATGCTATGTCACTGCAGTGTATCTACTGTATTTCTTAAGCTTGACACAACAGGAAGTAGAAAAAGAAAAAAGTTCTTCCTGTGTCTTTTGAACAAATTATTTTTCACACCTTGATCTTTATTCAGCATTTGAGGCGTGAGGTAGAGGAAGAGCAGGAGGTACTCCAATGCAACAAAGCAGCTGGATGATATTGTTCCAGGCTTTACATCCCTCTTCCCAGCTAGGGTAGTACCCTGTTTACCTAGCAGCAGCAGACCTCAGGTGCCACTGAGCTCCACCGCTTTGGATGTGGTTTGGGGTGGAGAAAGAGGAGGAGCTAGCATGATATTCCTTGCTCTTCCAGTGCCTATTCTGCAAGTAGAGAGGTCCCTCTTCTCTCTTGATTTATAGGCAGCACAGATGAATGTTACAGCAAGATCAGGAATACACTATCATCAAGCATCCCTTAGGCTGTTTAGCTCACAAAGAAGAATGAGCTGATAGTGCATCATGTCCCTCAGGAAGTCTTACCCGCCTGAGCATAGGGACAGGCCAGCTTACACAGGAGGCACAGGCAGGAGGAGGGGGAAGACAAAGCGCCACCGAGGAAAGGCAGGTTTAATGAACTGTTAGAATCTGATTAGAGGCTAATGTCCCTTTTAGTGCTTTGTACCAATTTACAGCTGATATACTTGAACTATTTTTCCCCACTGGCTGTGATAAACTCATTAGTTTTAAAAATGCAAGCTAACCAGAGCCTTTGAAGTTTAAAACTGATAAATCATGAAAACCTGACTAGTTCATGTACCATTTAACACATTTACATTTAACTAAATTTTCACAGCATTTGCTTCCCCTTTTGTTCTCTAAAAATCTTATTTCTTAGAAGCAGCCTTTCGAGTGCTGGCCTGGAGAGTAAATGCTCTGGCTGTGAACAGCCCTGGCTTGTGGGTCATTCATAATTCACAGTAACAATAATCACAGGAGTAGATTCTTTCCAAACTATCTGATCCCTTCTGCATTTATAACTGGAAGTACATTGTGTGATACATCATGGGGAGCCACTGCCGAGTAGATCCAGTCTACATCCAAGTTGCCCAGAGAGCTGATCTTTCCAAACTGCACTCTCCAGCCATAAGCAATGTTTGCACTACAGTATGTTCAGAGCCATGCAGCAAATAGGATGCAACTGCCAAGGTTTGCATACCGTGGGCTGTCACCTAAAGCAAAGGTGCTTGACTCATTCTCACAGGGGCTGGAGGTGTGAATTGAGCTCTCCCAGGAGCCTGTAGGGTCAGACAAGCAGATGGAGTATCCACACATGAGTGAGGCCAGGCTGCTCCAGTGCCCCACATTCACTGATGACACTCATGAGACGTCATCAGTTAATGTCATCAGTTAATCTTACTCATGAGATTGCTGATATGATGTATTGAGTCAATTAATTTTTTCAGGCCACAGTCCCCTCCTGGCTCACTTAATTCTCTTCATCAACTGTGGTAGCTAACTTCCAGCCTCCAAACCAGCCCAGGTGAATGTTACATAAATTCATATGACATTCCTTCCTTCTCTATTCTCCCACCTCAATCCACCTGGTGGACTCGTTACCCACCTAGGTAAAACAAATAGCAGATGTAGATCCTAAATTGGGCATATAATCAAATCGAACACTGCCTAACCGTACCAAAACATCTGTTCTCTTGGATAACTCATCCTAAAAGAGATCAAGCTCTCTTTTTCTCAGTGCCATCCGCTGGAGCCTGTCACTAATCACTTTTGGACATTTATTCCCTTGAAACATTAATTAAAAACACAAATCATACCCAGGGCCGTATGGGCAACTGTTATTAGAATAGTTGTTAGAGAAGACTGATAAGCTTTCAGGCTTACAAGCTCTGCTTCTGAGAAGCTATGGCAATCAGTTTAATAACGAGGCTCTCCCCTCTCCTAAAAAAACTACATTTTCAGTACAGCACCACTGCAACCATAACTGGCATTTTCTTCATGAAGATGACTTTCTGTTGCAACTTTTAATCAAATTGTCTTCTGTTACTTTAGAGGAAGAAAAAAATCCCAAAACTTTGTTGTCTCATCCTGGTACAACATTCCCCACCCTCTATTCCAGAATCCTGTGGTGTTTATTTAATTAAGAATCATACTATTATGACATTTAGCTCCTATCCACAAGAAGGTTTTGTATCTAGGCTATGGTGTTGTAGTCAAGTTTTTTAATTTGGCCAGCCATACATTTTGAGAATCATGCTGCAAACTTAATCACAGAGAAGCTGGTGCCACAACCAATCTCCTGTCCTGACACACCACCAAAGACACTCCCAAACCCCCTTCACAATTTCTCTTAAGCACAAGATGGCAGAAGTCACACATCCCCATCCCACGTCACAGTTGTCTCTCCCACTCTCCAAGACTTTCACATCTAGCTGCTCGTTACTAAAGCATCCGAAACGAAATTATGTTCTCCCAGACCAGGCCAGACTGCGATAGGCCCAGCCCCACACAATTCCAGAAAGAAAGCAGTGAGCTTCAGAGCACCCAGAACTCAGACCTCCTGTGGAAGAAAGTCTCCTCTTGTTTCATCTCATGAACATGACCAACATACAGAGGTAAGGTGGATGCTGCTAGCTACTGCTGTCACTAACAAAAATCACAGGCTTACTTAGTCATGCTAAAGAGTTACACACTGGCAAGACAAAGCCACAATGTTCAGCTGACAAATTCAATGCTTCATAACTCTAGTGACTTGACCTTAGCCATGTACTGGATGCCCACCCAGACACTCCTATACTCCTCCTCCTGAAAAGGGTAAAAAAAAGAATATAGAAAAGCCTATGGGTTGAGATAAAGACAAGAAGACCAGTTATGAGGTACTGATGCAGGTAAAATGGACTTGATTTGGGGAAAATTAATTTATTGCCCAGTAAAATAGATTTAGATGGTAATAAAAAAAGACAAAAACTAAACACCCCCACCCAACCCTCCCTTCTGCCCAGGCCCAACTTCATTCCAACTCTTCCTTTAGTTTTTTGTGCAAACTTAACGTCTAACATGACATGCTTTCATTTTGAGCAATGGAGTATCAGTCTCAAATTCAACAGTAAAAAGTTTCATGTTTAAGGTGAGTACATTTGAACATCTAAGAGCCAAGAACAGCCCTTAGGTTGTCTTTTTGTCCCAAAGCTGCAACTCTCTCTGCTTCATCTTATAGTTACTTTTACACAAGT